TGAATTAAGTAATTGGTATACCCTATTTAGATTTTGAGAGATATTAAACCTGGGTTTAAGGTAGAGGGTCATTATCAGATTTAGGCTTTGCGTGTTTAAATATGGAACTAATAAAATGATTTGTTTAGGCTTTGGGAGAAGTTAAATTTAGGCATAGGGAAAAGGGGTCTTTAAGGCATGTGGAGTGTGAAAAGCTTTTTGCAAACTATTCACACTCCTATGTTTTCTGTAGTCCATTCAGCCTCCTATGATTAATTGTTGAGCTGCAGTAGCTGTTATACAGTATGCATAACTCAGTGCAGTCCCTGCTCCTCCTGTAATACACTTACTTTGTAAGAGGCTGTTGGCTCGCAGACAGGAAGTGATCCTTCCCACTTCTTAGATTAGACTATGTCTCCTCGATAACGTCAGAGGAGGTGGAGAGGCAAACAGCACCGACGGAGCCTTGGTTCTGAAAAAACTTAAGCAGAAAGTTTTTAAATTTAATTTTAATAAAAAACGGGTGTGGGTACCTGAATATAAATAGGAACTGGAGCACTATAATGTTAGCAATACAGGTTTGTGTTATTAAAACTAAAGAAATATTCCTTTAACTTCAAAAGGAACATTACAAAAGCTGAAAGCAGTTGCTCCATAGAGAATAGGTGTCTGTAGGCAGGTCCCTACTCTGTGTAATGGGAAATCAGGTCCTGATGACAGAAAATTTTTGTCATTAAATGTATGCACACAGTGTCAGACCCAACAGCACTGAGTGAGCGACTTTACATTCACAATCTGGCTGCAGACAGTCACAGAAACTATAAACAGGTAGCACAATCCTTACAGTGCATCCCCCTGGGAGTCCTGTCCTTCTAATACAGGATGTCTTTTAGTTCAGATCATTTAATACTGTGAGTGATGTAAGGGAGCGTGGCTATAGAGGTGGACTTATGGTGCAGCATTCTGCAAAATGCAGAATATGGTGCAGCATTCTGATGATGATAATGGTGCCAAAATCTATCAAATGAGCGTCCTTTTTATTTTCTTCATAAATTTGTTTACATTACATTTATTAAAACACGTATAAGGTTCTATAACTGATATTGTACCAGTGTATTTATTAATATATGTTCACTCTTACATTGTCACTTTTGAGTATAATAACATAAATCATAAGAATAGCTTTAGGAAGCAAGTCAAAACAACATACTATTTTAATTGATTAACTAATTAACATGGAATGTTAAGAATGATGATTTTTTTTTTGCAGATAAAATGAGATGTGGTGCACATCACACATCATTACATTCAACGCATATCATATTTTGTTGGTTTGCATTTTGTTTGTTTTGAGTTGGTGCCTTTGCTTAAGTATTTATTGTGCTTGGAATTGTATTTAATTTTACAATCAGTCGTAGACGTTGATGAGCAAAAGGCTATTGTGAGTGGTTCTGTTGAATTAAAACATGTATCTATCTATCTATCTCTATATCTCTCTATCTATCTCTCTATCTATCCATCGTTCTCTCTCTCTATCTATCTCTCTCTCTATCTATCTATCTATCTATCTATCTCTCTCTCTATCTCTCTCTATCTCTCTCTATCTATCTATATATCTATCTCTCTCTCTATCTCTCTCTCTATCTATCTATCTATATCTATCTATCTATCTATCTATCTATCTATCTATCTATCTATCGCTCTATCGATCTGTCTATCTATCTATCTATCTATCTCTCTCTCTCTATCTATCTATCTATCTCTATCTATCTATCTATCGATCTATCTATCTATCGATCTATCTATCTATCTATCTCTCTATCTCTCTATCTATCTATCCATCTATCTATCTCTCTCTCTCTATCTCTCTCTATCTATCTATCTATCTATCTATCTATCTCTTTCTATCTATCTCTATCTATCTATCTATATCTCTCTCTATCTATCTACTATCTATCTCTCTGTCTTTCTATCTTATCTATTTTCCTATGTTTGTCTTTCTATCAAACTATTGTCTATTTGTCTATGTATATGCTATTTACCACTTTTTTACTACTTATATACTATTTGTCATATCGAATAGCACCATATATTCTTCCATTATTCCCTTCCTTTCCTCTATATTCCATAGACCTTTGCCAATTAGATAATTTTAATTAATGTCCAATATTATCCCATTTGTAACCTGTTATATTGCCTTATCCATTACCATTCTCTCATCATCCTTCCATTTGCCCCCTCCTTTCTTTCCCCTTTCCTGCTCCCCACCATGTTGGGGCTAGTCCTTGGCTTTATCTTAAAAATCAAACCACATTTACTATGCTTCCTTACACAGTGTTTGACATATGATAACTCAGGATTATTGACATATGATAACTCAGAAACATTAAATAAGATAGATATGTGAGGGAGATAAATAAGCACACCTCCTGCTCTATAAAATGCACTTGGCTAGCAATGCGTCAACTGAATGACCAGACTTGACTTGCTGATCATGGTGGGGAGGAATGCAGGACCCAATAAAAGGGAAACCACACTTACTCCTTTCCCAAAATTGAGCACTGTTATATCCTCTTTTAATTTGCATTTCATAAGCAGACATCTATTTAGTTCCTGATATTTGAATACATACAAAATAATATATATATTGCCAACATGTAAATAACAGTAATTGTTGTGTTTAAACACATCATTCGGCTTCCTAATTTTTTCGCCCCGTAGAGATACAGTCGGTTACCATCATAAAAATAAATCACACAAATGTAAAAATAATTAACAATGAGTAATTGTTTATAGCTCATTAAATATTTACTGCATCTCCATTTCTAAATGTGTCCTGCTCGGATTAGTCAATTGAAACATATTATGAGGATAGTAAAGCTACGGAGATTTCTGTTTCTGCACAAGATATTTCGCTTTATATAAATCATCACAGAAACGGCAATCATGATAATGAAATCTGGTGGCTGTGCAGATGTTACAGACTTTAGAAAGAGTTATGCAACAAGGGCACTAGAGGACATCAAACGTGTTAATGAGACTATGCCCTGTGAAGACAAGCGTTGGTACTGTAGATGGTTTTTAACTACATATCTTATAGCAAGGCACTTTATGATAGGATATACATATTTCAAAACTTTAAGACTGCAACAGACAATAAGCATATCCTGGTAAAGAAAAATAATCACCCAAAACTAGAACATTATTTATTGAAGGCATACTTTAATGCTTTATCTGAAAGGGGAGATATCAAGCGTATTGGTCTGGTCTGGCATGTCCCTTTAATATAAATTTCAACAACAAAATGATGATATGCATATTTTGTTGTTGAAATTACTATTAAAGGGACATTCCAGACACCAACACAAATGTAATGAATTTTATAGGTTTTGGTTTAAATAATTAACATAACTAATTTTTTATTGTTTTTGCAGAAAAAATCCCTCAAAATAAATATTTTATTCTGCTATGTGTATATTCTGCATCGTGAATATGTCTCTTCTCTTCCACATTCTGAAATAATACCTTCTTGCTGGTTTCTGTACTTGAATGCAGCTTTCATGCATACTACGCCTTCTCTTGCTGTGTTTACTAACAGTTGTACATATCTTCAGAAAGCACAGAAAAAACACAATACTACACACATTGTTTAACCCCTTAAGGACCAAACTTCTGGAATAAAAGGGAATCATGACATGTCACACATGTCATGTGTCCTTAAGGGGTTAAAACAATTAGTTTGAACCAAATGTTTTGGGTTCTGTCGCTGCTACTTAACTTACATCGTAGCCATAACAAAAATCAGAAACAGTGATGGACTTCTTGTAGTATGTAAACTGATCATTGACAAAGTATAAAAATCCTATAAATATAAAGCACTACAAAATAAACACAAAAAAAAAATCTATTTCCTTGATGACCAATTCGTCCTCTGATAATAGTCATGCCTATCTTCTATATCAGAGTTATGAAACCTTTGAGAATCCAGGTGTTGTGGATTAAATCTCTAATAATGCTCTTACAGCCATAATCCTGGCAAGGCATCAGGGGAGGTATAATCCATAATATCTCCAGTGTCGAAGATTACCTACCCCGGGTTTAGATAATTCCAATAATTATATATGTCGGGGTACCTGTTGTGAGCTGTCAGCCTAGGGATCTTCTCCAGAAGTGGTTTAGACGCCAGCCGTTGTAGCTCCACCCCTTTCTTTGACACGCACACGCCGACGTCATGATATCTATGACATCACGGCCCGCCGTCAATGACATCATGGCCCACCAAAACGTTTCAATTCAAACGCTTTGGGGGCATGGCTCGCGATTTAAAGAGCCACACTATAAAAAGGGCTCATAGGGCTTGGATCATTGCCCTGTTGTGGTCCAAAGTTTCTTTTTTTCCCTATAGTGCATTTTCTAGTTTGCTGTATCTGGTATTTTGACTTTTGGCTCTGTTTTGACTATTCTGTGTTCTACTTCCTTGTGAGTCGGTTTATACTTATCGCCTATTCTGTTTTTTGGCTTCCATGACCTCGACCTATACCTGACTATTCTCTGACCTTGCTAACATTAGTCTGGCCACTCTAAGGTCAGGTGTACGATATTGGATCTCTGTGACGTTCCTGACAATATATAAGGTCTGTCCGGAAAGTATCCAGCCATGTAAAATGAAAAATAGAGCCATTTATTGAAGAAGATACCAGAAACATTGTATATAGGACAATGATGCCTCAGTCCTCTTCAAAGTAAGCACCTTGGGACCTCATACAGTTCTCCCAGCATCTCTTCCACTGTTCAAAACACTGTGCAAAATCCTTTGTTGGAATCGCCATTAGCTTTGTTGGAATCACCATTTACCTGAATCTCATCAATGGTCTGAAATCTCTTACCGTTCAAAGGTGATTTTAGTTTTGGGAAAATCAAAAAGCTGCAGGGCACCTAATCTTTCAAAAAGATTCTCAATAGTGATGTCCCGAACAGTTCGCGAACGGTTCGCCATGAACGGTTCGCCGAACGGTTCGCCACGGACTCATCATTCCAGCCAATCAGCAGCAGACCCTCCCTCCCAGACCCTCCCACCTCCTGGACAGCTCACTAAGAATGCAGCTTCACAATGAATGTAAAATGGATGCTGTCCAGGAGGTGGGAGGGTCTGGGAGGGAGGGTCTGCTGCTGATTGGCTGGAATGTGTCTGCTGACTGTGAGGTACAGGGTCAAAGTTTATGTTTATGTTCGCCGTCCGTGGCGAACCGTTCGGCGAACCGTTCGGGACATCACTATCCACCATACCTATATTCACTAACCAAATTTAATATTTATTAACCCCACAGCAGCAATGTCACTTTAACCTAGGATTGCCCTAAAAGTTTTCATTTACAACATGTCATGGCTTCATGCCTGTAAGCTTGCTTGAGCAAAACCCCTGCCACTTCTTCTCCCTGTATGTAAAACTTCCGTTGTTGAATTTGTCAGTATTTTTTGTGAATCCATTGTACACTCTGGTGGAATTGTTGGGTGTTTTCCTGAGGTTCAGCATCAGGATTTCATATGAATTAGTGACAACCATATTTGCATTTTAATCTGTCTATGCCCATGCAGTATGGGGAGTCCACCAGTTCTAAAAGGAGGTAGATAAGAGAGACATAGCGCCAGGATGTGTTAAAAGATGGAATCTGTGTATCCTAGGATACATTTTCCTTATTATGTGTGACCTGCATATAATTGGCTACATTCTCATGAGGTTCATCCACCTCTTTGGCAGGTTGAGAATTATAGAAAACAAAATTATACAGTAAAAGTTCCAATTTAGCCATACACACAAGAGACACTAACAAATCCCGATTCTTGCCTCACCAAAATTATGATTCTGTGCAAAATAGGTTTGATAGATGTGTAAATACTGTTTTCTTATTTTAATGCACGAATATTTTAGCGTAGTAAGTAGTACTCATGTTTTAGACCTCGGGTATCAGTTCACTAAGAATGCAGCTTCAAAATGGATTCTGTCCAGGAGGTTGGAGGGTCTGGGAGGGAGGGCAGGAACGATGAGTCCGCGGTGAACCGTTCGGCGAACCGTTCACGTCGGACCGTTTGCGAACCGTTCGGGACATCACTAATTCTCAACCATCTTTTTATTTGCACTGCACTCATTGCATCGTCCCCAAAAGCCTTCTGAAACATCAGAATAGTTTCCACAGAGGAATCTTCAAGCTCAACACAAACTTTGATGCAGATTTACTGCTCTACTCGCTCAGTCATTCTAAATGTGATGGCCACACAGTACACATGCTCAACTGTGCCTAGCACCACCACTGACTAGTACAGTGAAGTAGTCATTGTTTACGGATGTGTACTCCAGGTTAAATTAATGTGGCACAAGCCATTATCATTATATTAACAATGGCTGGACCTTTTCTGGACAGTCCTCGTATATCTTACCAGAAATTAGACATTGAGTTGTACTTGCATTTAGCCATGTATCTTAGTGAAGATATTTGCTATTTACACTTGGAGTACACAACTGCCTTAGCTAAAATTTTCTATCTCTGCAATTAATTTAAAGTTTTTATATTACATCTGCTCACATTTTGTGTGCTGTTATTAAAAATGCACTTAACAAAGAATAAACAGGGATTGAAACTGCTTGATAGCATCAATATTTATTTACAATTATTTTACAATTCAGTTGCAAATGTCTCCACTTTAAATACCGTAGTTTTATTTTTAATTTGATTCATAACCAATTTAAATATATTTTTATGACACTTGTTTCTAAATAATTTTGCTGTGATGGCATGTTCATGCTATATCTATTACAACTTTGACCGTAATATTCAAAAAAAGTAATAAATGTTATTAATTTAATTTCTCTTGGGAGTTGAGATTTGTTATGCTTCCTGTAAAACATTTATCACAAATTGCATTAACGGTTTTAGTTTTATATAAACTAATTTTGGAAATTAAAATTTTACATTGAAGGCTATTTCTTTCATTGTAAATATCAGAGAAACAAAAGGTTTAAAGTTACAAATGTAAAACATGCAAGCATTCAACCATTTGACCAGCAGCCAAAACCACTTAATTAATTTCATATATTTCATAAGGACACTCTTTCCAAGTGAAATTCTGAAATACCGTAGTTAATGCTTCATAATGGATTATTCTGAACAAAAATATTCTAATAAACTTCTTTTGAACATGCAATGAGGTGGGTTTTTTTTAATTCTTTGTTTTTGATGTGCATTGTTATGTCAAGGATAACATCACAGGCACTGGTTGCTATCTACAAGTAGAAGAAGCAATTGTAATCAGAGACAGTCAATGAATGGGTGGAACTTTCCCACTCAGTCGAATACTAATAGTGGACAAGGGGCCTATCCCTTGTCACTAGAGCAGGAACCTGTCTACCAGCAACAGAGCAGAGCATTAAGTGCCTGCTCTGCAGATCCCATTTAGCAGATCACCGAGGGAGCTGCTGTTATCAGTCTATGCTCTGTCTGCACAGCTCCCTCTCTGTCATGTACTAATCCCAGGAGCTGACTTGTAACATCACCGCAACCCCAGCATCTGTACAGAGCTGCAGAGAGCTGCACAATCCGTGCATAGACTGATCCCAGCAGCAAACCACTAGACACCAGGGATATAATTCTAAATAAAAAGCAAATGTGTGTGATTGTATGAATGCAAGTATTTGTGTGTGGGAGTGCCAACATACATCTCTGCCCCAGATGCTAAATAACCTAGGTACACCACTTATCTCTTCATCTATACTTAGTATGTGATGGTTTAATTGTCACAGTTGGTGGATAAAATACGTGTCACCCCATCACCTAGACTGTGTGTTTCGGGTTAAAAACTATTTTTAATCCAAATCTCCCTAGTTTCCTTGTAGGACCATCTCAGTTATTCCTTTCCCTCTGTGTGGGTTGTAAAAGGTAAAAAATGTGTGGGGTGGGGCCTGACCAGCATGGCGGCTGGTCACAATTTGCAAGAGCTCTCTACCAAGCTCATCTCCCAAACATCTTACCGAGACTCCTGCCGCTCACCACCTGAACCAATGCGTGTCTCAACTGACACAGGCGACGACTGGAGCATTCCAGTTCAGGAAGCCGTGATGCTGATCACGAAAAGCCTTACAGAGCGGTTGCGGCCTAGTACAGGCTCCGGACGGGAGAAACGGCCGATCTCCCATCCCGGATCTCACAGAGCCTCCCCCGCCCGCCGTGCCTGCAGAGAGGGATAAACCCTGGCAAACCACGCATCGGAGCTACGTAGTGCAATCCCACATGAGATGGCGGACGCACCGCTCGGTCTCAGTCAAACCAAGCAATCCGGTGTCCATGGAGAGATTCATGACTAAGCTAGACGCTATCTTTGAGGCCTTCTGGGCAAAGTTGGTGGCAAGAGCGGCAATCCCCTGGTCGAACCCCCGAGTAGAGGATGAGAGGGGCAACACACAAGATGGCGGCGGATCACACTGCAGCATTCACAAGTGTCCTGCACCCGCCACAAGCGGCAGCTGACCTCCTGGGCAAGAGGTCAAGAGGTCACCAAGGGATTAGTTTCACACAAGCGGAGCAAACAACACATATGGTGCCGCAAGACCTTGATCCAGCTCTGCTCTCCCTTTGTAGGGAAGGACTTGGACTTTGTAAGTCCCCTAGTCAGTGGCTCAGAGATGCAGACCTCAGCAAGGGCCTGGGACTATGGAGCTGCCTTACCTCACCCCCACTCAAGCAACTCAACCGCAGCTCCTCAGAACTCTGGAATTGGCTGAACCGGGACTCACTCCAACACACACTGCTGGCCTCACATAACTCCTAGATGCTAGTCTTGTAATACCACTGACTGCAGAATGCAACTCATCTATGACTGCAAACACCTACTCTTAAGCTACATTAAACGTTAACCCTGTTACACGTGCACTAGGTTGACCCACTCAGAGCAGCGACAGCCTCTGCTACACAAAGTTGGCACACCGATTTTCCCTTCTGCAGGCAGAGATCCAGCTTGTTAACGTACCATGTTTAAAAGTTGAATAAACGTGCATTTTAATCCTGATGGTTTCTTTTCATTTACATCTCTATACAGCCCTGTCTGAAAGCTATGCCATAACGGAAACATAATGTTCTCTACTTAGCTCAGACGACTCTTGTCACACTCTTAGTCTGTTTAACCCCTTCATAAAATATAAAATTGTGCATGTATTCTCGATTACTCAAATGTTAGAGAGTGGTAATATGCCTGAGGATTGCCGTTGTTATATATAAATATGCACTGCAAAAATAATAAAAAATAACAATAAAAAATGTGTGGCTCCTTTTAGTTTTAGAATCTTAAGGTTGGGCCATACATTTTTTTTAATAAAATCACTAATTAAAGGGACACTGTAGACATCCAGACCACTTCAGCTCATTGAAGTGGTCTGGGTGCAATGTCCCATATCCCTTAATCTGAGAATCTGCAATAATTACCTCTGCAATAATTACTTTTGGGGGTTAACTCCACCTGTAGTGGTTGTTTACCTGAATTGAAACAGAGGTTTGGTCTATTATCTGATGCTGGACATCCTCATGCTCTGCATGAGGACTTCCAACGTAGCATTGAATAATGCTTTTCTATGGGGAAATCCTATAGCGAGCGCGGCCATTGCCGCGCATGAGCATTAGGTTTGTATTCCTGGCACCATAGAATCTCTTTAAATCTACTATTTGTAAACGTCTTTGTGTTCCTCACTTCAGTCCCAATTAACTTTGGCTAAAACGCAGGTCTCAAGCACAAGCAAATTTTCTTGAGTTTTCTCAAAGCTCATCTAATCTGGAAAGTATTGGCCAAGGTTCCATTGATCTTGGCAGACCTTGAGTTTCGTTGATGGTTTAATTTTGATTTGTGAATACCTAAGTTAATAAATAAGTGATCATTCAAGGTTATCACTTATTTTATTTAATTATTACTTATTTTTACCTTTTACATCTACTTGGCCTAGGTAGGGGTCAATTTCAGGTCATTACAATAACTGCCATTGGTAATTACACTTTGACCTCAGTATTTTTTTAGGAATTGACACATAACCCAGTAGCAGATATCATCTTTTGAAAATATGGAGTAACAGCACATTTCTGTAAGAAAAAGTTGTTTAAAATTAGCAGAATGGTATAATGTCAGTGTTCAAGGAAATCTGGAAATAGTTTTTTTTTATTTTTTCAAAAGGATAACAGCTTCAATGAGCAATTATTTAATATATTTTGGCATAATGTCAATGTGAATGCATTTCTCTTTCCGAGCTCCTTAAAAGGGATTTCAATTTGATTTTTTAAAATTGTTTTATAGCTCCTGTTTGATTACTGTGAATTAAAATTGCTGATGCATTCATATTTAGTGGTGGGAGCACTAATCTAGTATGAGAAAAATAACGCTGCTTTTGTATATGTAAGGTCACTTTATTAGAATTGAATTTGTACACATAAACCTTGAAAATGGCTTTCAGACAGCTGCTGAGAAAAAAAAAGCCTCCCTCGTCACTGGCCTGCATACACAAACATTATGTACATAACCAACCATAGCACAGATACAATGACAATCAGCTTGGGACAAGATGCATATAAGAAAACACACAGACTCCAAAAACATGATGTACATACTGTGGACTAAACAAACACTGGAATGAGATTTGCTTAGCTTTTTCTTAGTTCATATAAATAGGACAAATTTTAACCCCAAAATATAGTCAAAGTTCTGTACATTCGTAACTGACGTTTTGGAACCTTTGATGTGTTTTTACTATTATTTCATAATTTCTTATTAAGTGCATATATATATTACATATGTTGTTTTTTTAGGACAAATTTGGTTTTCTTTTAACTCCTTGCAACAGCTGTGTGGTAGCTAAGAGATATCCTTACTGTACCATTCCATTGCTGCAGCCAGAGGGCTCATGACGCTTCCTTCTTGACTAACCCAGTCAACACAATCCTTAAATGGATCCTATAGTGCCAGGAAACTGGCACTATAGGCTCTTGGAGAGCCACCCTCCCTTGGCGCTGAAGGAGTTAAAACCACTTCAGCCACTTACCTTAATCCAGCAACAGGCTCCCTCTGCACTGGTGACCTCTCCTCCCCCGCCGACATCAGTTCCCGGGTAGAGCCGAATGCACGTGTACGGCCAGAGCCGCGCGCACATTCAAACCCGCCTACAGAAAAGCATTACTCAGTGCTTTCCTATGGGGATCTTATTTGATTCTGGACTCCGTGAGGACATCCAGCATCAAATAAGTGCGATTTACTCTGCGTAAATCATGGAAGCGGCCTCCAGTGGCTATCAGGCAGACAACCACTAGAGGTTGGATTAACCCTGCAGTATGTTTTCGGCTGCAGGGTTAAAACTAGGGGAACCTGGCACCCAGACCACTTCATTGAGCTGAAGTGGTCTGGTTGCCTATAGTGGTCCTTTAATGTATTCCTTATATCAGGCATTATTGTACAGAAAAGTTAGCATAGTGCTCATTAGTGATGTACCGAACGGTTCGCCGGCGAACGGTTCCTGGCGAACATAGCATGTTCGCGTTCGCCACGGCGTGCGAACATATGCGCGGTTCGACCCGCCCCCTATTCGTCATCATTGAGTAAACTTTGACCCTGTACCTCACAGTCAGCAGACACATTCCAGCCAATTAGCAGCACAGCCTCCCTAGCAGACCCTCCCACCTACTGGACAGCATCCATTTTAGATTCATTCTCAAGCTGCATGCTTAGTAAGAGGAGGGAAAGTGTAGCTGCTGTTCATAAGATAGGGAAAAGCATAGCTAGGTTAGGGATAAGGGTATGCTTTTTTTGGATTTTTTTTTTCTATCTAATGTAAATGCACTTAGTTGTCTGCCACTGCTGCCAGCTTCTGTGTCAGGCTCACAGTGCCCATTTCCCCAGTCAGTGCCACCAATTACATCTGGTGTCACAATAGCTTGGATTTAAAAACAAAAAACTTTTTTCACTGTTATAGATTGAATAGCAGTCAGTTGTCTGCCACTGCTGCCAGCTTCTGTGTCAGGCTCACAGTGCATACTGTGCCCATTTCCCCAGTCAGTGCCACCAATTACATCTGGTGTCACAATAGCTTGGATTTAAAAACAAAAAACTTTTTTCACTGTTATAGATTGAATAGCAGTCAGTTGTCTGCCACTGCTGCCAGCTTCTGTGTCAGGCTCACAGTGCATACTGTGCCCATTTCCCCAGTCAGTGCCACCAATTACATCTGGTGTCACAATAGCTTGGATTTAAAAACAAAAAACTTTTTTTACTGTTATAGATTGAATAGCAGTCAGTGTCCTTAAAGCGGGTGTGTTACGCTAACAGTGGATACGGTGACGAGTGCCACCACTTAGATCTGGTGACACAAAACTTGTATTTAAAAAAAAACAACCACTTTTTTCACTGTTATATATTGAATAGCAGTCAGTGTCCTTAAAGCGGGTGTGTTACGCTAACAGTGCATACGGTGACAAGTGCCACTAATTAGATCCTGTGTCACAATAGCTTG